TTTTTTTCAATGAACAAAGAGTTAAATCAACAGATCGATTAAGCACAGACGAAAAACGAATAGCTGAAGATGAATTTGTGCCTTCAAATCTTCGTTTCTGTGTACGAAAAATCGATTTGAGAGTTGCGGTGTGGGAGACGAACACAAAACTTTTTTTTGTTGTTGAATGAAAATTCTTTGTTTTCCGTTCGCTACCCCCTTTTATTTATCGACCCACACCACCGGGTACCGTATCCGTATGTAAATTGTAATCTGGTCAAGGACGAGGGTAAATCGGTCTTTTACTCATCGGCAGACTTCTTGTGATTTTGTTTACTTGTAATTTAAAAGATTTAACTATCATAATTTGACTTGAAAGATTAATTTATGTAATATGGGATTATGTACTATATATGATCATTTCATATAACAAGTTTAATATGTATTATCATTTGTGTAAAAATTGAAAATGGTAAAAAGAAAAAGTTATAGCAAATTATAAAGAAGAATAATAAATGTTTTATATATATACCATTTTCATCCATAATCTTATAGATGATTAAATAACGTTAAATAGATTGATAAGATAATATAATATATTTTATAGATTTATAATTAATGTTAAGACATTTAATTATTTGAAGTTGTTTTGTATTTAGGGTTTTGGTTTAGATTAAAAGTTTTAAGCTTGTATTTTTAAATGATATTTTTTGTTTGATTTGTTTAAAACTAAAAGTTTTTAAAGATTTCAAAAACTTGTTCAAGATGCCCTTAAATAATATAGGTATGTGGTCAAACCAAGTTTATTTTACAAATAACAATATGGTTATTTGTTGTCGAAAATTAAACAAAATTTTTTAACACTGATATTAATATTGTATTTATTTCAATTTATTACGTTGAAAATATGATGATAGTCTATTAATATATTTTCCTTGATCGCAATAATATAACGGCACATATTGTATTGATAAGAATATGGAAACACTTCTAATATTCAAACGGTCCTCAACTATTGTGTATGTTTTATAAATTTTGAAATATACTACTTGTTATATTTAATAGTTTTTGGCGCCGTTCTAAAAAAAATTATAATTTTGGAGGAAAAATTTTGTATAGATATGCATCTTAAGAGATTCATGTTGCTCTAAATTGTTTTAACAGTAAGAAAAACTAATTTCATAATCAACTTATAGTATGTTGATAAAAGTAGTAATGTGATTGAGTCAACTACTTCACTACTTATACTACTTGATAAAAACTTGATCCTTTAGTCTTAACATGAAATCATAATAACTGTATGAGAAATCGTTTATCCTTTAAAGAGTTATTGATATAACGGAGAAACAAAAATTATGTTGAAACAAACACATACAAAACAAAAGTTTAGAAAGCACAAAAGGTCTTTTGTAAACATGAGATTGAATAGGCAACGCTCCTAAATTTGGCCATAAATATATACATGTTTGTATCAATATCATATATATCATATACAACTTAAGATAACTTTTGTTGATTTTTCGTGATGATAGCGATTCAATGCTACATCTTGTGCCTAATTAAGCTTTATTTGGGAGTAATGGATTATAGGAGTCCTTTAACTTTTGATGTGGCTTTCAATTGTAAGAGGCCCGTTGCTTGGTTACGGTTACAGTTTATATTTGTTTAATGACAATTTTTGATATTTCATGCATATTAAGTTCCTATGTAATTCACGATTATCATGTGTATAAGTGAAGCATCATCACCTTTCTGTTCGTCATCTGAGTCTTTCTTATATTTATAATGGTTTATGTTCTTGAGTTTAATATGCATTATTTTTATTTTTTGTTTTTGTTATGATATATACAATTTTAAGCATATCATTTGTTGTTTGTTTTATTAAGAGCAAGGAAGAAGATAAAGGTTGAATAGAGTTCGATAAAAAAGGTCATGCGGAGATCATATATCTGGAGATATTCGTGACACAGGAGGTGTTGATGAAGTAACCATAAAAACTTTGTTTTTAGACCAAATTCAACAAGGAGTCTATAATGAACCAGGAAATTAAATGTCTGATGACATTTACAACTCGAGATAATAAACTTCAAAGGAAATTACATATATACCATTTTCATCCAAATGATTAAAAAATGTTAAATAGATTAATAAGATGATATAACATATTTTATAGTTTTATAATTAATGTTAAGATATTTAATTATTTGAAGTTGTTTTGTATTTAGGGTTTTGGTTTAAATTTGAAGTTTTAAGCTTGTATTTTAAAACGATATTTTTTGTTCGATTTGTTTAAAATTAAAAGTTTTTAAAGATTTCAAAAACTTGTTGCTCAACATGCCCTTAAATGATATATGTATGTAGTCAAGCCAAGTTTATTTTACAAATAACAATATAGTTATTTGTTGTCGAAAAATAAACAAAATTTTTTAACACTGATATTAATATTGTATTTATTTCAATTTATTACGTTGATAATATGATAATAGTCTATTAATATATTTTCCTTGATCGCAATAATATAACGGATACTATATTGATAAGAATATGGAAACACTTCTAATATTCAAACGGTCCTCAACTATTTTGTATGTTTTATAAATTTTGAAATATACTACTTGTTATATTTAATAGTTTTTGGCGCCGTTCTAAAAAAAATATAATTTTGGGGAAAAAAATTGTATATATATATGCATCTTAAGAGATTCATGTTGCTCTAAATTGGTTTAACAATAAGAAAAACTAATTTCATAATCAACTTATAGTATGTTGATCAAAATAGTAATGTGATTGACTGAATTACTTGACTACTTATATTACTTGATAGAAACTTGATCATTTAGTCTTAACATGAAATCATAATCAGTATATGAGAAATTCTTTATCCTTTAAAGAATTATTGATATGACGGAGATACAAAAAATTATGTTGAAAAAAACACATACAAAGCAAAAGTTTAGAAAGCACAAAAGGTCTTTTGTGAACATGAGGTTGAATAGGTAACACTCCTAAATTTGGGCCATAAATATATACATGTTTGTATCAATATATATATATATATATATATATATATATATATATATATATATATATATATATATATATATATAACTTAAGATAAATTTTGTTGATTTTTCATGACGATAGCGATTCAATACTACATCTTGTGCCTAATTAAGCTTTATTTGGGAGTAATGGATTATAGGAGTCTTTCAGCTTTTGATGAGGCTTTCAATTGTGAGAGACTCGTTGCTTAGTTGCGGTTACAGTTTATATTTGTTTAATGACAATTTTTGATGTTTCGTGCTTATTAAGTTCCTATGTAAATGACGATTGTCATGTGTATAAATAAGGCATCATCACCTTTTTGTTCGTCATCTGAGTCTTTCTTATGTTTATATTGGTTTATGTTCTTGAGTTTAATATGCATTATTTTTATCATTAATAGTGTTTTTTTTGTTTTTGTTATGATACATACAATTTTAAGCATATCATTTGTTGTTTGTTTTATTAAGAGCAACGAAGAAGATAAAGGTTGAATAGAGTTCGATAAAGAAGGTCATGCAGAGATCGTATATCTAGAGATGTTCATGACACAGGAGGTGTTGATGAAATAATCTTAAAAACTTTGTTTTTAAACCAAATTCAACAAAGAGTCTATAATGAACCAGGAAGTTAAATGTCTGGTGACATTTACAACTCAAGATAGTAAACTTCAAAGGAAATTACATATATACCATTTTCATCGAGATAATTAAAAAATGTTAAATAAATTGATAAGATGATATAATATATTTTATAGTTTTATAATTAATGTTAAGATTTTTAATTATTTTAAGTTGTTTTGTATTTAGGGTTTTGGTTTAAATTAAAAGTTTTAAGCTTGTATTTTTAAAAGATATTTTTTGTTTGATTTGTTTAAAATTAAAAGTTTTTAAAGATCTCAAAAACTTGTATTTTTTAATTATTTAGGGTTTTGGTCAAACCAAGTTTATTTTACAAATAACAATATAGTTATTTGTTATCGAAAATTAAACAAAATTTTTTAACACTGATATTAATTTCAATTTATTACGTTGATAATATGATAATAGTCTATTAATATATTTCCTTGATCGAAATAATATAACGGATAATATATTGATAAAAATATGGAAACACTTCTAATATTCAAACGGTCCTCAACTATTGTGTATGATTTATAAATTTTGAAATATACTGCTTGTTGTTATATTTAATAGTTTTTGGCGCCGTTCTAAAAAACATTATAATTTTAGGGAAGAAATTTTGTATAGATATGCGTCTTAAGAGATTCATGTTGCTCTAAATTGGTTTAACAGTAAGAAAAACTAATTTCATAATCAACTTATAGTATGTTGATAAAAGTAATAATGTGATTGAGTCAAATACTTGACTACTTATATTACTTGATAAAAACTTGATCATTTAGTCTTAACATGAAATCATAATCAGTATGTGAGAAAGACTTTATCCTTTAAAGAGTTGCTGATATGTCAGAGACACAAAAATTATGTTGAAAAAAACACATACAAAGCAAAAGTTTAAAAAGCACAAAAGGTCTTTTGTGAACATGAGGTTGAATATGTAACACTCCTAAATTTGGTCCATAAATATATATGTAACATCCCAAAAATCCGTACCAAAATTTTTTCTTTAAATCATTATCAAAGCCATATTCATAAAAACGTATCGTAAGTCGTAACATAAATTCAGAGTATTAATTCCAAAACATATTTGATTATCAGAGTAAAACATCCCAGGCTGACAAATCAATGGTGTGCACTATGCGATCACCCCGAGCTCTTCACTCCGCTACCGGAAGTACCTGAAACCAAAACTGAAAACCGTAAGCACAAAGCTTAGTGAATTCCTCAACCTACCACATACTATGCACAAACACATACAACATATACCGGGCCACGCCCCTACCTCCGGCCCCGCCCGCTACAAAGGCCTCGCATGGCTTCGAGTCCCGCTCGAATATAGATATGTTTCTTTTAGGCCCCGCCTGTCTCTACGCCCCACGCGCTAACCACATATAGTACAAAATAACATATAACACATAACTGAATATACCCTACTACATTATTGTCCTTAGGCCTCGCCTGTCTTGGGCCTCGTCCCTATCCTATCACTAGTGAGTCATGGAACCCCATCCAAGCTCCTACGGTAAGTGAGATACGAGCCTACGCCCACACTCACTCCATGCCTATCTCGGGCCTCGCCCATGCTCTGCTACTAATGAGATATGGAACACCGTTCATACTCTGCTATTGGTGAGATACGGGACCTCGCCCACACTAACCTTCCTACCAGGAACATACATGCATCACACAGACAACAAGTATACTCTATCATGCAAACCATTCCTTGGGCACCCGCCCGACATCGGACCTTGGTCAAGAATATCATACTAGCAAAGAGTGCCTAGGGTTAGCCCTCGGGTCTTCCCACTCATAACTACATGGGATGACATTGTGGCCGTAGACCCATTCACACAAAAGGAAACTCACCTGCACTGCTGAAC